TGCCCATAGAAATTTTAAAAAAAGGAAAAATTTTATCTTTTACATTTTACCATTAATTTTAGCTGGTGTGTGATTTTTTTTTTTTTCCAAACAGCGAAATTTAAATTTGCAATAGATCCTGCCTTTGGAACTCAGTGTTAGCAAGTAATGAGTCACAGCAGCTAGGGATAGAGAAGCATATTTATCTATCTAGAAATCTGTACAAAACCAGCAAAATTTTTCCCAAAATACCTTGTGAATGAAGTGTAGGTCACTTGAATTAATTAACAGTTTTTCAGTTACAATTTCAATTGGTGAATTAATTTCAGAAAAGAATCTCAAACCTGTTAACAGACATTTTGCAATCACTAAATCGATTATAAGAGAAACGTAATTTATTTATATTTAAAAACTTGCTTAACTCCACTGAGATTTGGGAGTTCACCCTTTTGATTCTAGTCCCATGCCTTCACATATGTGCACACCCCCCACCCCCCCACCCCGCCTCCAAACTCTGTCTCTCTCCCTGGACAATTTCGCTCTTGCAATATCTTGTTAATAGCCATAGTCATTAGTGCCATGGTCGTTTTGCTGTTCCATTTCCTCCTCTCTCGTCTTTCCTGGTTCTGCTTGTACACTATAGTGGTTCCTGTCTGTCTTGTAGAATTAATTTCAAACATGCTTCAGTCTTTAGATGGCACCAAAACTGAATGCACTCATTATGGAAGCTTTATGATTTCTATTATTTTCCACTCAGAGTGGCATGTTCTTTTAGAGCTTGTGAAGGTTCTGGCTTGGCAAGGCTTTCTAGGAGCTCCACATGTGCTGTATGTAGCGCAAGATCTTGTGTTGATTAAAGGGTACCACTGAAACAGAAGCAATTACACAGAAGTGCACTGTATATTGGTAAAAACTGTACTGAATTAAGCTGCAAGAGTTTGACAACAAAATATAGTCAAATTCTTTAAATATGAAACCAAATAGTGAGGTTGTCTGATGTTGGTTGGTCCTTTCAATTTCTTCCCTTTCAAGCATATGAAGCAATCAAATATTTTCTTTTCATCACAGGGCAGTATTACCTTTAAGGAGTTTGTGTATGTAGTGACTTCAGTTTGTCTAAATGGTATTGTCTGAAACAAAGCAACGCATGAAATTGCATTTCTAAAGAACAGGTACAAAATTATATTAAATTAATATGGAGACATTAAGAGCTCCCTAAGGACAATAACACTGGTACTTAATGGTCACAGGCAAAACTAGGAGTTATTTACTATGTAAATCCTTATATACAGGCAGACTTGTGGTAACTGGGGCTGTGGTGAAAGGAGGTCTGAAATTGTTGCTTTCTTTCAGCCCTGATGCTAGGGTGGTCACAGACCACTCAAAGTGATCCCTTCTGGTCCTCAGCCCTTCCCATATCCCAGTGCCTTTCACTTAACTGGTTGCTGCTGTAGAGAATATTCTAGCAGACCAAGGACACAATATTTTATTCAAAGCCTCTTTGCACAACCCAGCCCACAGCCCCAGAGGCAGTGTCCTTGAAGTCTCCTTGAATAATGAGGGAGAATAGTGAAGTTGTAAACAAGAAAGAGGATGATAAGCAAGATGCACTAACCGCAGAATGGGGAGGAGAGATTGACATAGAGGCGTGTGCAGATTTGCATATAATCATTCATGTAAAAGTAGATGTGCATGATCAAGTTAGTTTACCCAACAGTAGTTTTCCTTAAGCCACGTGAACCCTGTAAAACCCTATAAAAACGTACTGATAAAGGCAATAAACGAAGTTCACTCTTACCTCTATGAGGACTCCATGAATATTTTGAGCGGTTTTCCTTTATGCTGCTTTCAGATACCCTGTCAAAGCACAGTCAGAAGGCCAGAGTCCTGGAAAGATGAATGGGTAAAAAAAATTAGCCAGGGTCATTTTTCTTCAATTTAAATCGAATTATGTACATTGACAAGAACAGGCAAGGAGACTGGCTCCTTTTTAATGTCTTTATTGAGGTCAGCTCTAGGTGGGGGGAGCTCAAGGGGTTGTGCACACCACTGCTGCTCCCAATGGTCAACACAGAGGAGGAGGTGTTCGGCTTTGCCGTACAGCAGAGCCAGGGCTTCTGTCCCCACGAGAGTCCCTGGGAAGACACTGGCTTGTTGAAAACCTAGGGTAGCCATGCATAGCAAGTGTTTTAGTTATGGCGACGAGGCCTGGAACATCAGTAAGTGGCTTGATTTTCTCCCTTGGTCCTTGATGTAGTGTGGAGTCTGGTTTGAGCCATGGCTTGCTGATTCTTGGGGTCTTTAGATGTTAATTTCACTTCCACTGTGTGCTAACCCCCATGGGATTTCACTCATCTACATACTGGGTGGTGTCATCGGTTGCTGTTAGGGGGTGCCAGGAGCAGCAGAGGCAATACAAGGCAAGGTGGCATTTAAGAAAGAAGGCTGTCACAGAAACATTGGACATAAGGTATTTAACAAAGAAGGCACCTTATGGTGACAACATTCAACTGGGTTAACATCTTTGTATACTGATCAGGTGGTCACATTTTACTCTTTACATACACTGTCTCATTTCTTTATTTATATTGCACTTTCAAGAAAAGCACTTCTGTGGCTTATGAGCAAGTGGCCCAGAAGATTTGAATTTTAGTAACTGTGAACTTTACTGCTAAATACTGAAATCTCAGGCTTGAGAGGTTAGTTCAAGAACTACTCAAAGAAAAACTGCAGTGTATGCAAGCATGTTGTACAGTCTATGCACTCTGTTTGGATCAACTTATGGTTTCAGCTAGCTCAAAAGACACACTTGTTTTTTTAATATTCTAAATATACAAGTAGTAACAACCAAAAAGTAGAAGACAGGCAACCCAACAAGTCTGTTTAGTATTGGCCTGAGCAAACAGCAAGCTTTTTATCTTAGGTGTTAGTAAATTTGACAAATAAACTACATGTGTATTGAAGCTTCTTAGAAACATCTTAGCTTCCTCTGACTATTCAAAGGTCTGCTGCAACCTCCTTTCCTTTGATGAGAAAGGTCTGAGGGACCACCATCATCACAAGAGCAAATGGTGACAAGGTTTATGAAGAGAGGGGCTCACCCAGCAGCTAAAGGGAACCTCTGACCTCTGTTAACTACACTCAGACTAACAAGTGGTAACCTGAGTTTCAGAAAGAGGCATTTCTTGAAGGGTTCAATCTGTTTCATGTTCCTGACTGCTCACACAAGCACTCGTTCCAGTAAGATCTCTTTCAGCAGTGGCTCAGCACTCAGTGTACAATTTTAATGCCTTCACTGAAGTTGGCATGACTTGGTTTGTTGTTCCTGTGACCTGGATTGCTCATTGCTGCTTGTTTCTGCCTGTGAACCCTCTGTGACTGTCCTCTTGAGTGTACTGTGGACTTAGATCTCTCAGTAAAGTCCTGGAAAAGATTATGGGACAGCTGGAAGGAAATACGCTGCAGTCACATTATCTATAAAAGTAGGTCTGTGTAACAGTGTAAGACTAATGAAAACATTGATAACATGATGAGTGATGAGTCCCTAAACCCTCTTGGTTTTGAAGAGCAGTGTGGCCAGTCCTCTGATGAGGGATAATCTGTGAAGTGCTGGGCTCACAAGACCTTGCTCTTCAAGACAAACTGTTACAGACCTTTTTTCCTCTTCTCTGCTCACCAAATGGCTGTGCAGGCTGAGTAACACTTCCTGAGGAGTTAGCATCCTTGATGTGCTTTGTAGTTGAACAAAAGCTTGAAACACCAATTTAGCAGTTCCTCTTCCTCAAGTTTTCTCGGGTAGATGCTGAGCCCCACGCAAATACCAGCCACACCAAGCTTGCTTTCCATGTTTTGCCTTGAAAGGATAGCTCAAGACAGAAACCAGCCACAGACCCTTTTATTTAGTTGTTGCATTAACCTCTTAGTTGTGCAATCCAGCACTGGAACAAGTCTCCAGTGAGGCTGTAGCATCCTTGAAAATTCTCAAACCTTTTGAACAGGGCCCTCAGCAGCTTGACTGCTTTTCAAGATGATTTTGAGCTTGTTTAGATGGGTTCCTAAAATCCCTTCAAACCTGAATTATTCTAGGTCTTAAAACTCCTTTGTGTTGGTTGTTTAGACTCATTATCTCCTTTAATTTCTTTGCTATCTGGTCTCCCTTAAAAATGTACTCCCTTAAAAATGTACTCCCTTAAATATAATCTCATGTCTTGAAAAAAAAAAATAAAAAAAATAGGATCCACAAAAAAACCACAGATGACCCAAGTGGAAATTTTAGTGATACCATTACATCAGAGCAGGGCTTTAATTAGTAGGTCTGAAGTAAAGATAATCAATTCTGCCTGTATCTGTTACAGACAGGAGAGGAATGCTAACCAGATGTAGACTGTCGTTTCTAAAGAGAAAGGTGTCTTTTCTAACCTTGGAAAGATGTCTGTTACAACACTGTGCTTCCCTTCTTGAGCAGCTCAGCTGGGGCTGTGAGGGGAAGAAAGAGAGAAAGAAAAGAAGGATTCAGAGATGTAGAACTTGAGGAAGTCAAAAGCTATCATACCTGAAATATGTTTTTTAACTTTTACCTTGCTGGTGGGTTCTTTCTCAGGAACTACACAAATTGGTGTGTAAAGAACAATTTCATTCCTTATGGTTTTAGCCAGAAAGAAAGGCACTGTGTCATGCTTTCTTGAGGAAGGTTTGGGCACAGAAAGAAGGAGGCAGGGCTGCAGGTATGCTTACCATTGGAAAAATGATTCCTTTACAGTGATGCAAGATGGTCACAGAGGCTGCACAACACAACTCTGGATCTGTGTGGCCTCAGAGAAAGCTCTCATCACAGAGAGAATAGCTCTGTGGAGCAAGGCTTCACCTGTCCTCATGGTCACCAGTCTTCCTGGAATATCCTGTCCTCTCTTCAACAGGCATGACAAGAAGATTTTGGCCAGGCCAAGTACTCACATGTTCACAGATGCTCATTGCAGGGGGAAACAGCCTGAAGGATGAGCAGCAATTTCTGTGTCTTTTCTAGGAAAGCAAAACTTGCTGTTGGATCTCTTGGAGAGTGGGAGAAGACACCCAAAAAGATGGCAATATGGTAAGAAGGAAATGAAGGAGGAAAGAAGTGACTGTAAGAGAGAGGAGATACCATTTTCTTAAGTGTCTAAGTGACTTAAGATATCAAATATTTGGTAAATTTAAGTCACTTGAGGCACTTCTGATAATTTACCCAATTTACCAGGAAAAAAAACCCCAAATTATAAAAGCTTGGCACAAGTTATGCTGGAGGCAAAATAAAACTTATTTATTATGTCTCTCACTACTCTCACTAAGCTTGGTGGTGGATGCCCAGGGAATTTCCCCTTCAACATACCCTGTCTTAGCACAGAGCAACTTATGTGTGAGAGTGCCTAGAAGGAGTCACTGTTTTTGAGTGACAGCATGTAAACTGTACAGTCTCTTGTAAAAAGGCTGTCTGCTGGTATTTCAGTGAGATTCTGTTTCCCCTGTAGTCTGGTCTTTCCTTGTCTGTTTGTTTTGTTACCATTTGTATGGAGATCATCAGATCCAAGTACATTTGACATATGGAGATAACAGTCAGGAAAGGAAACAACATATGGCAGACAATTCATATCTATCAAGATCTGTCATAAAACCATTTTTAGCAATAGAAAAAGAGGAGCAGAAAAAGACAGTAGGTTTGAATTTAAAATAAACATACTGCTCTAAGAATCAGGAGGACCCAGGCCTTGTTTTGCTCAATGAGACCATCGGTTTACCAAAGCCAGCACCTGCTGGTGCTGGAACTCTAGATTAAAATCCTCTGTAGTGCACTGGCCAGTTCCTTGTTGACCATCATGACCACCTAATGACTAATCTTAATGACCTGCATTAAGCAAACTGCGCTGGCTGTCTAGCCTGTTGAATCACTGCCTTGGGCTATTCAGCTATTCAGCCCAGGTTATGGGAAGGAGGGAGAAAAGGAACATGTACAGGTGCTAAAGGCTGTGTGGGTACAGAGACCCCAAAGCATGATGCTTGGCTCTGCTGTCCTCACTTGTGGCCTGTAGTAACATTACATAATTGACTGGACAGATGAGATGGTCCAAGTCCTTCCTCACAAGGAAAGGACCTTCTTTCCTCTTGAAATGGTGGATAGGCCTGAATTCAGTATGAATTCAAATCATCTCTATGGGTGCATTGGATGTATAGTCCTGAGTCTCGGGGATGTCCTAGGCTTCAGGCTTCTCCTGGGACTGACCACCTCAGGTAAGGTGTGGATGTATGTATACCAGAAGAATGGTTTTTGGATTCTTTAATACAAAATAAAAGCTGGTCCCTCAGTTTGGCTGAATTGAGATTTTGACTAGAGAGGAGCATTTTGAAGGGCTGCACCTAGTCCAGATATGGCTGTATATGTATTATTTGGATATAGTGGGGAGTTTTAAAGGAATGAGGATGCTTTCCAAAAATACTGTGCATGTCACTCACTAATCTATGTAACTTAGTAATAAATGGAATTTCTTCTGTAAAATGTAACAGCCATTTTTTCCTAAGGAAACCTGGCCTTTTACCAAAGAAAATGGCCCTTTACTTTTACTTGGTTTCCTTTTTATAGCCCTGTGGAAGATTTCTAGACAGAGATGCTGTTTTAAGGATGAGAAAACCTCTGCAAGGGGGTGTTTACATTGCCCAAGCTAACAGAGGTCTCACAGGCTCAGGCACAGTATCCCTCCTGTGCCAAGAGGAAGGGACAGCCTCAAGCTGCTTCTTATAAAACCAAAAGCTGAAAAACAGAGAAGAAATAGCCAGAGGGAGGATCTTCTCCCAGTCCATTTTCTTGATGTTCTTTTATATAACTTCTGGTGTGGCCAATCCTCTTTTCCGGCAGTTATATTCTCATCTGTTATTTTCTTTGCTCCAGAAGCAGAACAGCTGAGCTGTAATGTTGGAGTTTACTGGTACTGCATCTCTGTAAATAAAAGGATAGCAAATCTTGTGAGAAGAAACAAACACTCTCTGAGATGGATAACGCTTATTTAGTGATCCATGTTACCTTGCTAGGAATGGAATCAGTCAACCTCATCTAAGGGCTAAACATTGACTTGAGTAGGGTTATGTGAGAGAGGAACTTGGCCAAATGTTTCTCCCACTCCTGTGTGGGTGAGCAGGAAGGATGAAATCTTTGGTTTAACAGAGCATCAAAACCTAACCCTGTCCAGAGCCTTGCCACAGTGGCAGAAGAAGGAGGTATTGCTGTTGAGCACAGCAATCCTTTACACATACCAGCTTGGAGGGTTTAAAATGCAAAATGGCATTTCGATGTTTAAGAATAGCAAGTTATTTGATGGCTGTAACTGAAAAGCTTCCAATAAAAAAGCAATGTGTTCCAGGACTGCATAACACTGCTGATAAAATTGCCTTTGGATTCCTTGTCTAATATTCCAGCCTTTCTCTTGCTCAGCAAAACACAATAGCTTGCACTAAGCCTCCTTGGAAGGGCAGCTAACAGCACATTTACTAGACACTTCAAACATTTATAAATGTTAAACAATTAAACAATCATATTTCTCCTGAGTATATTTAATATCTGTTAATGTCAGCAGCCCCAGCCTGAGCTGCCAGCCTGCATTGCTGGGAGAAGAGTGTTTAATATAAAAGATGAACTGGGTAAGCAATCACTTACTGATGTCTTTTGGAAATGGATAGGTGACTACCTAAGCTCACCCTACCCTACTCCTTCTGTCCCCCTGCCCCCAGCCCTGCTCTGTTACCACCTTGTTGCTTTGTGCTGCTCTGAATGCATTAGAGTGGTTATTCTGAGTACACAGGAGATGCCAGGAATAGTTTCAGGTTTCCTGCCTCATCAAACCAAATTCAATCTGCAAAAAATTAATACACCCAGAAGGAACAGTTAAAAGCATCTCCAATCAATTAATGTTAAAATGAGGCTAGAAGGCTGATTTGTTAAAGGAAACCCAATCCAGCTCAGATCTCAAGAGGCTACTGAGATGAGTTACAGTGATGAGTCAAGCTGCATTGCTTCAGAGGAGAGAAGCAAATAAGGTATAGGTTGAAGCAATCCATGCATCACTCTCAGCTGTTCATTACTTCAACCTGGAGGACCCCAAAGGCACATTCTTCTTGGGGCAGGCCATGAAGTCTCAGCAGAACGAGTCTTCCTCCCAGATTTCCCACGAGGCAGGAGGTGGCAAAAGTTCAGGTGTTTGCACTGGCAATTCAAATCTTCTGTCCCTTCTCCCAGTGCAGCTGGAGTGTGAGTAAAGAATGCAGCCAACAACCTTGAGAGATCTGCACGTTTACAGCAGGTCCATGTGTACTGCACCACTCACTCCAGAGACTCAAAAGACAAGTTGGTATGCCATCCCCATAACTTTGCCTTCAAAAACTGTAAGTCAAAAAGAGATAGATGTAAGTTGGGAAGGTTTTTATTGATATCTGAACCTTGTTGACATTCAGTGTTATTTTGTGATGGAAGCTGAGACTTATATAATCTCTTAACTCCAGAGCCCGGAGCTTCAAGATGCAGATTTAAAGGGATGTGATAAGTTTCAAGAATTGCCACAAAGATCCTTGTGGTGTATTTAAGTCTATGTAATTTACACACAGTGGGTTCAATCTGCAATTGTTGACTGCTTCTTGTCTGGTGGGCTAGTCTTCACAAAGTTAATTTTATTTTTTTTTCCTTTAATGATGCCTTGATTGTTTCCAAAGTGTAGAAAATTTCCAAATCATGTCTGAAGACACATTTGAATGAAACCTTTTTAAGCATGTTTTTTGATACCTGCTGCCTTAAAAATAAATGAATATATGACCAACCAAACAAATAAATCAACAATTAGGTACACAGCCAGATGAAGCCTATTGTCGTCACTTTGTTTCTGATTAAGGTAGGTCACACTTTTCTTCCTTCCAGCTATTAAGTATTTAGATCCATTTATACTTTAATCCCTTCTCTTTTTTCCTGGTCCTTTGTTGCTGTGTTACATCCTCACAGTCAGAGAGCATTGAACTAAGTAGTAGAAAAATGCGAAGAGGGAGTTAAGGCAGTAATCCAGCTTTGAAATAAAAAATTGGCCTGAGGTTAGTGCTTGAATCTAAAGAGCTTACTGAAGGCAGAAGGAGAAATAAAAAGACTGACAAGAGAAACTGAGGCAATATAACTGAGCCAATATGTGCGCTTATCTGGATGGGGTACTTGAATGGAGTCCTTGTGACAAAGGGTTAATTAAATTGCACTTCCCTGAATGTTGACTAGGTAGGGCTAAGAGTGAGAGATTTTCAGAAGGTTATGATGGGATTGTTAGGGTTGTTAGGCGAAAATATAGTTCAGCTGGTGGTGGGCTATACTGCTTGGTGGGCTACTCTGGTCAGGGAGGGCTTCATACCACCATGGGGAGGAATCAGAGAGACCTCAAAGGTTCTGAGATGGCAAGTGCTCATGTTGTACTCCTATATCCCCTCTATCCCTTTGTTCAGGCAGAGGAGCACTCTGCCCCAGAAATGTGGTTGCTTAGTTTACAAATCATTGCCTGTGATCTTAATCTTTTCTGCAAACTGTATTTCTGTTGGAGGTGGAAAGGAAATTTTGTGGACACCAGCAAGAACTCTGCTTGTAGTGAGGAGACATGTCTGCCTATTAACTATCATTTTTTCTATATTCTTCTTTATTTTTGACAGTAGCAGCAGCCTCTCCTCTGATTAAATGAGAGGAAACTGGCTAGAGAGAGCTCAGGCAAAGTCAGCTGAGATATTCTTATGTTCACTAAAAGATGTTTACACAAAAATATTGGTCTCCTCTGTCAATAGCTGGGCATGCTGACTCCAAAAGGTCCTAGGTTATGCCTGTAGTTCTCTGTTGCTTGAAAGGGAAAATCAATTTCCCCATGAAATTTGGAAAATAAAAGACCTATTTAAGGAGACGTTTTGGGCTCTGTGTGTGCTGCATCACAGCAAGATATAAACTGGCTTTTGCTGAAAATTAGCACCATTATTTCATTTATCCAGGTCTGGGCAAAAGGAATGATGCTTCTGCAGTCAGCTAAAGGAGATTGCATGGTTCATTTGTGCCCTACACTAAGATACAACAAACACAGTGTGGTGCAGCTTTAATTTTAATTCAAAATAAATATTACCATAACCTGCAAAATTCCTCTAATACACTTATCTAGGAGAACACAAAGATTAAAGAAATCCTGCTAATTCTTTTATCTTTCAGATACAGGACTGAAAACAAAGACATCCAAACCTTGAGCCATTTAGAAGAAGCCAAAATCTGTGCCAGAGGTTTGTCTGTTGGGTTTACTCATGGCTTCAGGTACGCTTCTTTCCCTGGGTTGTTTAGCATTTCAGAGGCCCTCTGTGTTCCTCAAGGAGAGCCATGGATTACAGACATAAAACCTTGCATAGCTTGCAGCCAAGGCAGAGCAGGGGGAGTACAAACAAGCTAATCCAGGGTGCCTTCCTATCCAGCTGCCTGCCTATGACCCTGGCCAGCACTACATGCTTCAGAGGAAGATGTAAGAACCTCACAGCAGGCAGATGTAGGATAATCAATCCTTTCAACCTTATTCTCAAGCTCCATTAGTTCTCATCCTGATCCCAAAACAGTTAGAGGTTGGATTAAGTCTTGAAGTATGGCATTTAATATACTCTAAAAATTGTTGTTATCATTAACTCCCATGACTCTGGAAACTAATGTTATCCATAGACAAATACATTTTCATTTTAAATTGCCTTGTGTCCTTGATCTACTATAGCAATGAGGACATAGGCTTAAACACCTGTTTGCAAAAGGTATTTAATATTTCTATCTGTAGCAATTTTGCTGTGATTTTTTTTCACTCCATGTCTCTTTTCCTCACTTTATGAGCTAAGGAGGAGGGATAAAGTGAGTATACTCTAAAGATTACACATTCGTTCATCATATTATTGTACAAAAGGTCTCAGGAGATGAATTATTTCAGCATCTTAAGCATTGATTTGGCAGTCTGCTTCCAGCCCCACTCAAAAATACAGACAGATTTGCACCTCTCCCAACACAAACTCTGATCCATACCTCAGTCCAAATTGCTGACCTTGGCTGAATTTTGTCCCAGCTTTCCCAGTCATGGTCAGGATAAACAAGATCTTATAGGAAAGCTATTTTTGCCATCCCTTGGCAGCCCTTTCCTGACCTACTCCAACTGGAGCAGTAGCTCATGCCTCTCTTCCAGCACCAACCCTTTCACTCACCCTTTTTGTCAGCCTAGCCTTCCCCAGGACTCTCAGGCATCCTGGAGGTGTGGGAGAATTGTCAGTACAGAATGCTTTTCCAGCTTCCCTGCTCCTTTGGCCTCCTTTCCACCCTGCAGCATTTGTACCACTCTTATTGTAGTGATTTATAAACCTAACCCTTGCTAATAGTCTTGTCTTCTGCTCTTTCCCAAACATGTCTTAACATTTTGCTTTAACAGGAACCATATCCCCATATAACTTGTGCAGTATCTCTGAGGAAGTTTTAGAGCCTATGATCTGATGTTATGTGTAGGATTTCAGCTGTATTTGTAGTGCTTACATAGAACTGCTCAAATATTTTTGAGTGTTTTATTTTTAATTAATTTTAGCTATTTGATATTGTTTGTGCACAGATTGAATCTACATGGATATATCTACAGTGATGACTTAGACTGCCTCCTTGTGTCACCTTTATATCCACCTGCAGTACAATGTCCTCTCCCAAACCCCAGCTCTCGACCATTTCTACTCCCTTCTCTTTCTCCATCCTTTGTTTTCCCTCTCCTTATAATATCACAACCTCTTTCTCTTTCACATTTCATACTCTGTTCTTCTCTCCTCCTTGGTGCCCCTCACTGAGACAGAGGACAAGGGGCACCTGAGGGCCCCATGTGTGTCTTTATGCGTGGTGGGCAAGAGACTACAGAGGAGGACCTGTCTTGGTGAACTGGCAAAGCCTCATGCTGCAAGCTGAGGGAGGGAAGCAGGAAGGGAAGTGTTGCCCTGCTGTGGGGCACAGTGTCTCCTATGGTGTGACAGGGACAATTGCTGCTCAGAGCCACCTTGGTATTCTGGGCACTGGTGTCTACTAAGGGGAGGCACTGCGCAGCCATGAGGGCCCTCAGCAGTTTGGAAGTATGGATCACAGGATAGGTGTAAAGAAATTATGCTTTTTTGGTAAAGATTTCCCACCATAATTTAGATTCCAGTGCAAGCAATATTTTCCCTTTTTCAATGTTACATATCTTTGTTGTTTTGGCACTGGAATTTGGTTACCTGAGCCAGTCATGGGGTTACCTAGGGTCTTTCTGAGTCTTCTCATCATAATAATTTTACTACTCACACACCTATAAATTTGTGGCTGGTGCATTTTTGCTGTTTCAGTTCCAGTCCTTTCTAGATTGTTCATAAATACAAGCAAATTAAAAAGTGTGGAATCCAGAGTGGAACCTTGAGGCATATGATGTTTTCCAGGGTGAAAATAGGCCATCTGATTCTTCACTTCTTTTCCCGCTATTAAAGTTTCATCAAATTAATAATTTGCTTTCTTCTCTGAACTCCTACAGTTTCTCTTTTTTGTGAAGTTTGCTCAAAAGCATTTTAACAGTATCAGTAGGTCATGGCTTTCCTCTGACATGGCCAGAGAATTATGAGAGATTTGTGAAACAGTTTTGCCTTCTCTGGCTGTCATTTTAAACATCCTGTTACTATTTTCTTCTCATTCTTAGAAAGGAAGGCTAAAACATTTAGCCTTCAAGAACATCAAGAAAGGATGGCTAAAACATTTCAACCAAATGTAGCTTATCGGACTCCAAAAACCTATTTCTATTACCATCCTTATCACACCACCCCTCAGCACAACCAGTTTTTAAATATGGAGATCATTAGTAGTTGGAAGAACATGAAAAAGGGCAGATTTCAAGGGTTTTGGGCTTGATTTTCCAAACAGGTTGGTACTAATACCTGGGACTGGAGTTTCACAGACTTAACTCAGTGGGAACATTACTGTGTTGGAAACCTGACCCAGAGCTGTGCTTTGGCCTCTCTTAACAAGCTGATGAGTATTCATGGCACAGTGCAGCTCTGTTTAGGTAACAAACTCAGCTTTGAGAGATCCAGTCGACCTTTCACTGCCCAGAAAATTAGCCTTTCAGTGGAGCAAAGCAGCTTCACAGCTATTCACCTTCCAGTTTGGATGATAATTAGAGCAGAATTAGCTTGGTGGCTTTTGCCCTGTGCGTGGTTGTACCAAGAAGACAAGTTTATGCTTTGGAAGTCCTTAGAAAGTGCTTTGGAGAGGGTATATGCTCATCCCCTATCTCAGACAATGAGGAACCCTCTTCCTGCAACCACTCCTTCATGGGGTGAACCCAAAACCAGGAGGTTGCTTCCCTCATACAGAGATGCTGAGGAGGTGAACATGCCATTGCCTCAGACATTCATCAAAATTCTCCTTTGACTTTCACAGTTTCTTCAGGACTAGGAGACCTCTGAGATCGGGCTGCTTATGTTCCTTCTCCCAGTGAAGTATAGCTTGTCCAGTGGGACATGTGCTTCACTGCAGCTGGTCCTTCAGGCTGTCATGACTAACAAAGCAGCCCTTGACTGGCTGCATGTGTCCATCCCTAGTGTTCAGCTATTGCCTAACTCCACTGAGAAGAAATGGATGCTGTATTCAACGATTTAGCCTACTCAATGGACAAAGTTCCGTGAAGGAAAACCCAAGCTAAACAAAACAAAACCCACAGAAATCAAAACAGCTGGAAAATGCTGCTCCATATAATCCCAGCTGTCCTGTCCTGCTGCTAAGAAGAACCATACTAAGAGGCTGCTACAGACGCATGCAGAAAAAACATGTTGTTAGAGGCATCAGGTTCAGGAGTCTGTGGGATGCAGCCATTCCTTGGGCACTCCAGATGTATTTAAATATTAAAAGATCAAACAGTCTATTTCCCTGTTTGCTTCAGAGTGTTTTGTTGAACATTCTCATTATTCATTGTGGTATTTCTTTGATTTAAGAGGATTTCTCTACACAGCTGTAGTTATTAGAATACAGTGTGTGTATGTGTGGTGAATGTGCTATTACAATAACGATCTTCTCCTTGTAGTAGATATGCATCCTGAGAGCAAAGCTTTTAGTTCAGTTGTGCATGTGGCAGTAAAGACAAGATGCACCAGGTAATTTGGAGAAAGAAAATGAGTGAAATGAAAAAAGACACAAAATTAATAGAGTAATGCCGTGGCGGTGGAGGTTGTGCCGCGACTCCCTGAAGAAGCTGTCCTGAGAAGGACTGCCCAGGAGCACAGTCACGTCCTCGCCTCGGCGAATGATTTCAGCCCAGCTCAGCTCGGCGGCAGCATGCAGGTGACACGGAAGAAGGGACTAGAGCGCTATGTGGCGTTCCGCTTAGAACTAGCCTTTATTAAGGCAAAGCCCTTGGCGAAGGGAGCCGGTGACAGGCGCTCTCTCGAACAGGGGAAAAGCTGGGGTATTTAGAGAGGAGGAGAGGGGCGGGGGGAAACTGGGATACAGGTATCGGGGTGGGATGGCAGGGGAGAACACCAATGGAGTGTAACAGTTTAACACAACTAACTCAAAGACTTCTGGGAGTGTTACTTTTCTCTCTCTTGCAGAAAGTATCTTGCCTCCAGGGGAGGGGTCAGGATCTCAGAATCAGCCGACTCCCCCGCCCCACAGAGTAATGACTTCTGTGCCTGTCTTTGTTACGGCCTCAGTGCCAAATATTAACTTACTTTTCATTATCTTTTTTTTTTTGACAGACAGAAACCCTGTACAACAGCATAGAGAACCCGAGAATGGGAATTTTCAAATTTATCTCTTCACATAATTTCCCTCTAATTGCTGGCAGGGCTTTTGGTCCCGTTACCTGTAGATGAATTGCAGAAAGTCTCTGAATCTCAAAGCAGTTGTCAGGCATACTTTGTTATCCCCCTCCAGAACCTGCCTGCTGTTACTCAACCACAACACTCTTCCAGTGTCAGAGAGGGGAAAGAGGCAGCAGAAGAGGGGTTGCTGGAGTGGGAAGCAGATAAACACAGCACACAAACCCTCTAATTTAGTGAGAGAAGGTAGAGGCAGTGAGGACTTTCTGTAGGCTTAGGAACAGTAGGAATGCTGTTATCAGCCAGAGATAATTAAAGATATTACAATGAAGGCAGGGAGTCAAAGGCATTATGTCAAGATTTCCACTCTGCATTTGAAAATCTACAGCATGTGGACTTAGATAAAGCTGATTGCTTCCCAGAAGAAGTAACTGATGAATCTGCTAAACATTATCTATCAGGACAAAATATATCTAGGAGTTTTGAGAGGGCTGTCTCAGGAAATGTCTGTTTTTAATGAACCTGGGAGTGCTGGCAATATTGCAGATGACTGCAAAGGTCTTAGGTTTTGCCAGTGCCTTTTCATCCCTTTAGAGGGGTGTAACAGGAAGATAGATAATTGCAAACTGAACAACCTGAAATTAATACCTGGCAAAATAGTGCACAGGGAAATATGAAGTTCTAACTGGAAATATAATTAATATCAGGCAACTTAGCTTTCAAGGAGGTAGAGCGTACTAAACAAAACAACTTTCATTTTGTATGTGATTACAAATTCAGTTGTTGACAGAGACTGCAGAGAGATAATGTGCTTTTGCACTGTGTTCAGCATACCCCAGCACAGTATTTTGACTTGAGCCAAAAGGGGTAGGGAATGCTGACTGACGGGAGTGAGGTTTGTAGGAAATAGTCTGTGTCCAGTGTTATTTCTATTTCTTAATTGGTAATCTTGAAATAAATATAAAATTGATGCTGATAAAATCTGAGGATGACACACAAACTGAAGGAGTAGCCAATAATGATGGGGACAGAATGTTTACACAGAGAGATAGGATGGTGCAGTCTGCAGCACCCATTTCAACATTTTTAATGTTGCCAAATGCCAAGTCATTCACCTGGATTGTAGGGAAACCAGTTTTGATACAGTCAACTCTTATTCATGGCAGCCCTAGAACATGATCCCTTCCCTTCCCTTCCCTTCCCTTCCCTTCCCTTCCCTTCCCTTCCCTTCCCTTCC